TTAACTTGTAAAATATACGAGATCAGTGCACAATCGGAATTTCATTTCATCTATGGAGCTCAACTGGATCGTGGAACAGAAATATGAATAAATGTACGGAAAATCGATTTTCTGGCATTTTCACACACCTCTCGCCACGAGGAATTCGATACGATACTTCGGGTGATAATAAAACGTGTAACAGTTTCATATTCTTCAGTATACAGTATTCATATTCTTCTCGAATATGAAATAGCTACTATTAATTTGGCAAACAAAGTTAAAAGCAAGCTTAAACTATCATTACTTTTGAATATAGAGAATCATTCGACTACTATCATGTTTGATTTACATCTCAGTTTTTACACATTTAGATTATATTTCCTCTTTACTCTTATTGGATTTATGTTTTCTTCATTTTTATATATCGAAAATAATTAAATTGTTTCGATAACTTACACATTGATCTCTTATAAAAAGGGAAATATGTTAATATCTCAGAACTTCGCAGAAAGATATTACGTATCACCTACTAAATAAATTTAATGACATCATAAACCATAATATAAGATTACGATTCATCATGAAATAATTAATCTCTCAATTAACATTGGATTTACCGGTGAGGGAAATGCGACTGAACAAAACAGAATCTATACGGAACGAGCAAATACTTATCAAAATGTAATAACGAAGTGTAACATTGTCCCGCCATCGTTATTTGTTCGTTTCCATCGCTTTAATCCAAACAAATATTAATCACTCCGTTACATACATATGCATGTGAAGAGGATCTAACTATATTGAGAACGTCCTGTTAAAATAATTATTCCATTATGCTGTGAACTGTATCGAAAGCTCGCCTCGACACGAGTTTTGTGAACTGGATTCAGTAATTGAGAACACCGATCTTTAATCGTTGAACGGAAAATAATCGATAGCAATAATTCCTTGAGAATTAAATTCCGATAATTATTCATGAGTGATTAAAGATATTAAGTGGACATAGTTTCCATGAAGAAATAAAGAAACGGATCCTTAGTTTCGCGAAGATACGTTTCGTCTAAAATCCTGAAGAATCGATTGAGGCAGGATATAATTATTATTTTAGTTCTTTTTCATTGACACCATTTCAAAGAAAGGAACTGCCAGCCATTGTTCTCTAGATACGCAACTCGATTTTCTATACAGATGTGCAATTAGAATTAGTACTCTTTATAACTTTTGTTTGGATACGTAAAACGTCATCGCAAAAGTTTACTTCATTGAGTGAATCTTATTTCTTTGCAGACTTTACTTATAATTCTCATTAACATTTCAAATTTTCATGTTACATTTATTCCGTGAATTAATCCTCTGGTCAATTTTCTTAAATTAATTTTGAACGAATCTGTTATTCAAATTTGCTTTCTTAGATGTACATTGAAAGTACGACATATGTTTTCGTGAATTGAATTTCAGTTGAGCTAACACAAGAAATAATCTGAATTTGAATTAAATTTTGATAAAAAAGAAATCAATAAAATCGCATAGTGATTGTAATTTTTTTCCGACCATTCGGTAATGAGCGTGTTTTCGTCTAATCAACAATCTAAAACAGTAGTCATATGGTATGATACTAACGAGAATCGGAGGAGTACGTCACGATCGAAATCCTATAGGAATTCAGTTCAATTCAATTCGGCAAGAAAAGGTCTGATCCTATTGTAACAATCGGTAGGGATCGTAGAGAGCTCGTTCTCCAAGAAATCTCTTCTCCTCGGAACGTACGATCGTTGATAAGCGGTCTTTTAAACACCTACCCCAGTATCTTGGCAATTTTCTTTGTTAAATGAATGTTCGGTTTCTCGATAATCTATTTGCCCGACAAACTCCTGCGAACCTTTTCTTTCTGTATTTTTATTTTCCACTTAATTGATATAATCGATAGGTGCTCGAATACTGTGGCAATTGTTAAGTAATTATAAGCAATCTTAGATTATAGTATAATATTAACGCTTATTGTCTGAACGTTTTTTTAGTACAGTAATTGCGTAAAGGCAAGTCATTTGCGTTTTATGCATTTTTTTCTGTACCTATAAAAATTATAGAAAAATTCTGTGGGAA